CCTGACTAATCACCTGTTAGGCCTAATTAATTTTAGAATGTTTTAAAGTATTGCAATTGTGATGTATTTTAATGTGTGATATGATGAGGCTGTTTACGAACTGTGGTTGTTTTTTAAATTAATTTTTTAACTATCTGTTATTTTAGAAAAACTGATGATGGTGGAAAAATACACCGAAACGTATTTTGATAGATAAATAGAGACTAAATGACTGAAACCCTGGAATGAATTTGATTTAGAATTCAAACACAGTCAGGAAAATATATACAATAGTGAATAAAGTACTAAAAAGTAAAAGTTCGAGTTATTCACTTCAGAGGGCGCTTTTGTCGATTTTAGTTCGACTTATTTACTACTGAGGGCGCTTTTGTCGATTTTAGTTCGACTTATTCGCTTCAGAGAACGCTTTTATCGTTTTTATTTTACCACTTTGTCCAAACAAAAAAAAGTTACCTCGTTTTTATAAGTAATGTTTTTCCAGTAACGGAATTGAGTTACTGCGCCGGCAACCAAGCCATTTGCGCAGCACTGCGTCAACTACCAAAAAATCACTGAGTTACCCAGGCCGAAGATCGACTGTTTAAGTCACGTTAAGTAAAAAAGTTCTTCGTTTTAAACTTCATATTTATCTTGAATCGTGAGGAATTTGCGATTTTGTCCGCTATTTCGGTTCTCTGAACCTATGCGAATAGCCGATAAATGCCATTGCTAGTGAGAAACTTTTATTTTAAATGGAAACAATTATTTGTATGCGTTACAATATAATAAAAATGTTTTTTTTTTCAAATAAAAAATGAACCCGAAGTCACATGATTTATACGCAGGTCCGCATTGAAACAATGATTTTTACAGGATTCGTCAAACACCATAGGGTTTGACTTGTACATTATTTACACTTCTAGTTATAGTAATAATATATCTTATATACAGGTTAAAAATAACAATAAATAAACAACACTATGACTTCAGAATTAAAATGTTCAATTGTGGGCATTCGCCCACTAGGCGACTCCAAAATTCAAGGCGACTTGTGATTCGCGATCGGTAACGTGGAAAAGTTGCCTCAAACTTTAGAGTTGGCCTCAAAATAAGATTCGACATAGAAACGAGTGGAAATGGTGCTTGAGCAGAACATTTGTATGCCGAGCCTTCCCTAAAACATAAGTACTTAAAATGACGTTAAATGTTCTGTATAGTCTATTCTGTTAACAAAATCAATCGTTTTCACCAGTTGCTCAGGCAGACGTTTGCCAGCAACTAGTGGAAATGATCCATGTACCGGCCTGCACCTACATCACTACACTAAAATACTGTTTTTTTTCTTCTAAACATGAAACGAAACTCGATTCAATTTGGCACTTTTTTCGTCCTGAGTGTCGCTGCCTCTAATCAATCATTTGCCAGTCTAATGTACGAAACTAATACTACAGTTAGTTATTTATTATGCTTCACTAACGCCATTGACATTGTTTGGCTGTTTGGAATAATTTTTATAATTTTGCAGACCGGCAAAGGTACAGGGCGAAGTAAGAAACTAGCTCGTTGTTTTCGTACTTCGTCCAGTACTTTCTATTCGATTTCCCTGAATTTTGTTGCGGGGCTTTTTAAAGTTACAGGCTGTTGCACGTGTGTGAATACAATCAGTCAAGGATTTGTTTTAGGTGTTGCAAAGTTTTTCTCAGCTAAATATGCGCGGCCCTCTAATGATTATTTATAACAAATTTCATGAATGTGATGGCACGGCATATTTAGCCAACATTCCCTATTGGCCTGGTTGTACGGGTTATTCAATTCGGTAAAACTGAATCAGACTAGCACCTTTTTGTTAACGAATGGAGTTCTGGTAGGATTCAATTGTCCCCATGCACCAGCCGACTAGCACAACTTTTATTATTAACTTAGCAAAACAATTGTGGATGAAATTACCATTGGGGCCTGAAATCTCATTTACATCAGTCCTGAGAATTCACTGTGCAGTCACCAATCTGATTGCTAAAAAAACTTCTACGACTAGACTTAAAATTGATTTCTGACTGTCCTGCACACTGTCACACACATTTTCAGACTTCTTAACTCAATGTTTTAAAGGGCTTGGATCGACAAATTTAGCCCTTCAGTATGCCCTACGCCGTTTTAATCCAGACAGCCGGCACCCATTGCGGCTCCCTTTCCAAGCTGTTGATTTCGCACAACAAGTCGTGGTAGGCTCTTTCCGTGTCATTGTTGATGATGATCATGTCGAAGAAGTGACCGTACTTGTTTTCCATCTCTCGAGCTTTATCGATGATGTCCACCAAATCTTCCTCCTGAGAACCTCCGCATTAGGAACGCTGATTGCTAACTATAATTTGCATGTACCTTGTATGATTCTCCCAGTCGATCCTTCTTGACCTTCAAGTTCTCGAGGTTGGGGGGCGCGACAAAGACAACGTAGGGCTTCAAGTCGGACGTTCTCAGTATCTTCAAGCTCTGCGGGTGCAAGTTGAGGACGCAAATTTTGCCGGAATTTACGACCGATCGAATTGCGTCCAGCGACGTTCCGTAGTAGGCCTTCTCGTATTCCCCATGTTCCACGAATTTTCTCGAAAGAATATCCGCTTCGAATTGAGCTCGCGTGATAAAGTGATAGTCCTGGCCGTCCACCTCGTTCTCTTTTCTTGCTCTGGACGTATCTGGAAGAGCGATTTATTCATCAAAGTAATCGGATTTATGTGCTTATGTAAGTCACTCTTTAAGAGTAAGCGACATTTTAAATGGTATTAATGGTTTGTTGTTCTCTAAAAGCCCATTTACACGCTCAAGCCATCTGAACGATTTGGCTTGCGCAAGCCAGATCTGTGCAGATGAACTGAACGAAAGTCTGGCGTTTACACGTTCAGTTCGTTTTAAAGCCCGTTTACACGCTCAAGCCATCTGAACGATCTGGCTTGCGCAAGCCAGATCTGTGCAGATTAACTGAACGAAAGTCTGGCGTTTACACGTTCAGTTCGTTTTAAAGCCCGTTTACACGCTCAAGCTATCTGAACGATTTGGCTTGCGCAAGCCAGATCTGTGCAGATGAACTGAACGAAAATCTGGCGTTTACACGTTCAGTTCGTTTTACATAGATGTGAAGGAAGACCACCCAAACGTGAATTGTTGCCAAGATGGAACATTTGGACGTAGAGTTAATTCTTGCAACGGCTGCAGTGTGTGTAATTAAGAAAAAGATGAACTTAAAAAACTAAAAGGAAATGGTGTAAACCATGGTTGCTGAATAGGAATTTCTTGTCTCATACGAATTTAATAGCGGAATCACGTAATGATCCTGACGATTTTCGTAATTACTTACGTATGGACGAATCCACATACCTGCATTTTCTAAACTTAATTGCGCCAATGATTTCGAGAGCAGACACCGTTATGAGACGTTATTAACGCGATTACCCCCCACGAACGATTATCGGCTACATTTAAGGTTTTTGGCAACAGGAAGAAGCTACGAAGACTTAAAATTTTCCACTGTTATTTCCAAGCCAGCTCTGAGTAATTTAATTCCAGAAACATGTGACGCAATTTACAGGGCATTAAAAAACACATATCTATCATATAAGTCGCAAATCTGCTGTTTCTCATTAGCCATCGTTTTGCACAGAATATGAGACAGGGCTTAACACAAACTTGTCACACAAACAAGATGTGGCGTCTTCAGAACAATTGTCCACTGGTGGTGCAATACGCTGTACAAAGACTTTAGACAAAGGTCTACA